AAATATTGAATAATAATATTTAAAAAATAAAACGAATTTCTATCAAATAAAAACAAATACTTACAATGAAATGCTGTTGGACTTTTATTAATAAAATTAAGAAATCCTTCAACATTTTTTGACATTGAACCTGCTAATGTTGTCATCTGAAATTTAATAGAAATAATTTTCGTCAATTCTATACCACATACCCTTTGAATAAAAAAACTATAACGAGGAAAATTATTGAAAATGATTGACATCTTAAAAATTAAAAACAAAAGAAAACAACTACTTTCATAATAAGATAAATATATATATGTATAAATTCCTTCTCTTCATCGATCCATATTAATTAGTTAAAATAAGAAAAACAAGTAGATAACAATAATGAGATAACTTAACCAATATAAAAAAAAGAACCATTATTACTTCCATTTTTTTTCATTCACATATAAACTTAAAGTTTAAATTCAATTAAAATAATTGAAATTTCAAGTTTCAACCAAGTTATGATTATCAAAAAAAATGCCTTAGTCATTCTCATTATACTTTACTCTTTCTCTTTCTGTTAGTGTAGGAATGAAAAGAGAGAGAGAGAGCTATTTTTCTTGTTTGTCATAACTCAATTGAAACAAGGAATATTAGTCAAAATAATTTTAATTGAAATCAACTTTCAAGTTTTGCAGAACTGATTTTGCTTCTGTTGATAAAAAAAATATAACAAATAATAGAAGTTTAGATAATCTTGCAAAATTGCAAAAAAAGTAAACATAATGTTAATAATAAATCTCTGACCAAACCCATTTTTGAGATTCTTTCTCTTCATCGCATTCACTTAATTTTAAATCCTTGCCATCTGTTTCCATACATAGATGTTCTTTATTGCTTCGAATTTGTTTTGTTGACTAAAACAATAAGAAAAGAAACCATTATCAAGAATACTAAGAAGTATCTTTTTCTTTAGCTGTTTCGCTCATTACCTTGTCATATTGCCATTCACCAACTGGATTCCATCGACCTCGATAATCCAAACAAAACTTTTTTTTAACTATATCATGATCAGATATAAAACAATGTTCACCGGATGATATTTCACCTTCTTCATTTAAACGCCAAACCTGCTAAAATATTTTAAATAAAATATTTGAATACAATATGTTCAAATTATAGTGCAAGAAAAAAATAATAACAACAAAATACGTGAGAAACGATTGTCATTCTACTTTTGATATATCTACCGATTAATATAATGTACTATGTAGAATTATTCAGTAACCTCTTACTATGCATGTGAAAATATCAATACTCTTTGGTGTTGATTAGTATTGGTATAAAGTATTCTATGTCGAGATCATGTTTGGTAGAACGAAATTAATCTCCTATGTGAAAATTTGTTCTATTCAGAATGTAAAAGAAAAAATTCCGATTGATTAAAATTCACGTTGTATTTTTAATAAGTATTCTAAATTTAACTAAATACTGCTTAAGCATGTTTGTGACAAGATTATTCTTTTTTATATTAATACTTAAATGGTTTCAAATACTGCGCTTAGTATACAAAAATTTACTTGATAAACTTGAATAAAAGTACTACGCAAATAATTTTGCTAGTATTTTGATTTTTTTTTCTTCCTTCACAGTTGTTGGCAAACACTTAATTCCACTACAAATATTGGTAGATTTCAGGTGTTAATCCGTAAAATCTTTCTAAGATGAATCTCGAACAACAGTTGCTCTTTTCAGTCGTCTAATTTGCAAATATTTCAGACAGCTAACAGTTACTCATCATCATGAGTATCATAAATAACTAAGTCACAAAATGATCAAATAGGTTTTCGAAAAAAACTAATTTCTTTACTTTTTCGTGTAAATTTAAAATTAAATACGCCCCCTCCTATTAACCCTATTCACCGAAATAAAAAATTATATTCTCTCAATAATAAAGCAGACTTTATACAGACTCTAAAACGTTTCCGTTTTCTATATGTTAGTCCATCGTTTTTTAAAGTATAATGAAACTTCTATAACCAAAGAAAGAAAAATAAGATGTGATCCGCATAAGATTTTTTTCAAAGAATTTTATTTTTCCACTCATTTTCTTATATCAAAAACGAATTCATTCTTACTTGTCTATAACAACCACTAACACCAATTGGTTGACCAAATGAAGCACCTCGATCATTTAAACAAACTGCATGTTTAACATTTTTACACTACAACATATGCCATTATTTCGAAAATTCTAATTCAAAAAACGAAATTATATTCGACATACTTCTCCCCAAACAACATTTTTTGGTGGTGGTGGAAATTTTTGTAAAACATCATACGCAATATTTTCCATAAACCATTTAAATGGTTTACATTGTAATTTATCTCTTAATTGTTTGCGTTCTGATACATCACCAAAGTCTAATTTACGAATAGCTGGTTCACGTATATAATAATATTCAGTATATTCATCCATCCATACTTCCGCAAGACGCATATGATTTATATATGTTTGATGTGCACTTGTACCAGGTACATGAGATGAATGACTTCTTGGACCACGATATGCATGTGCAACATGAGAACATGGTACCCATTCAACAACACCACCACATTGCCAAACTTTAAATGATAATTCATATCTTAAATATAAAATAAAAGATTTCTATTTTTCTGTAAAAGTTTTGTAATATGAAACAAACATACTGTTCAGCTCCCCAAACTCTTATGCCTGGATCATAAGCACCTAATTCAAAAAACCATTGACGATCAATAGCTAGTAAACCGCCAGCATGTGTTGGTGACCTAGAGAAAAATAAATAAATATATTTATTAAAAATTATTGAATTAATTTCTATATACCAATATGGTTCAGATGAATATTTTCTTTTTTTTAATTCTTGTTCTGGTACTTCAGTTTCTTTATATAAAAATCCCCATTCCCAAATTCCTCGAAAATTTGATGAACCATAAATATTTGTATGTTCTAAAGTTTTCCATTCAATTCCATCAACTATTGGAACAGCTATAGCTTTACGATTAATTGCAATACGTGTTAATAATGGTGGAAGCCAATTAACAACCTAACAAAAAATAAAATCGTCTTTAAATATTTCCTGTTTTTTTTTTAATTATTTATCTCTATTTTTTTGTAAACATACACATTCACAATGAGCATCAAGTATAACAATAACATCACCAGTTGATTTTTCTGCACCAAGTGTACGTGCTGCAATTAAACCAATACGTTTTCCTGTTCGATAAAGTTTAACAAGACCATTCCAACGTTGAATATATTTTTCTAATGGTTCAAGTAAAGCCGCTAAAGAAAAAAATGATAACTAATTCTTTACACTATTCATATAAACTTTTTTAAAAAATTACATACGATCACTACTACCATCATCAATTAGAATTATATCTTTAAGTAATTCTTTTGGCGATGTATTAATTACACTATGTACAGTACGTAATAAAACACTCCAACCTTCATCGAAAAAAACAAGTATTACAGAAGCTGTTGGTAAACGTTGTATATCAGGATATATCCAATATTTACATCTATATAGAAAGATTTCATTTAAAAAGAACTTTTTGTTTGCTACGGAAATTTAGTAAATCAAAAATATTTGTCAAAAAAGTGTTTCGAACACCATTAATTTATCTTACTCTTCTGGTCTTGTATCTTTAATTTGTCTATCCATGGATATTTTATCGGAAGCAACCATATTAAAACCATATTGACTTATTGTTCGTTGTGCCTCTTGTTCTTCTGCAGAAGAGACTATCACAGGAACACCTATTGAACAATAATAATAGGTCAATTATATTTCAAATGAAATTAAATTTTACCTCCTTCGCCTGGACCTGATTGTATTGGCCTTTCTTTTGGTTCATAATTTCCTAGTGAATTACTCATTATTGGTTGTAAGCTATCACTTTTTGCTGGATTTCGAACATCAGAGGCTTCTTGATTAGCCTTGTTGCTCTATGTATCCCAAAACAAAACAGTAATGAAAAGAAAAAGAAAAAGCATGTATTTTTACATCTGAATAATCAACTTTATTGTCTTCAACTATTGATCTTTTAGTACTAGAATCTAGTTTGGACATAAGAAACGGCACAATAAAAATAAGAAGTCCAAGTCCAATAATAAAACGAAGTATACGTCCAAGTCGATAACGCATTTTTAAATGAACAACTAATATTTATTTAATTTTCAAATATTAATTATTAGATGATTCATTCATTGATTCTCAAAAGTTACCACGTCTACCGTGCCTCTCGAAAGCTGGCCCAATCGAACCATTCAGCTCGACGAAAATAACGATTCTATTGGGTGATTCTTTAAGCAATAGATATCGTAATATTCGCAAAACACCAATAAAGAGGAGCACAAAATAAAAATATTTTGGAAATGTTCGCCTCAGTGATGATATATTCGAATTATATTTTCGCTTAAATTTTTTCAATTAAATGATAATTAGCATTCTTGCTCAATTACATGAATTTCTATTATGAACCAAGAACATAAAAACAAGAGTGATTAAAGATATATACATATAATAACAATTAAAAAAACAACATTTTCAGGCTTCGCAGTGGCACTCCTTTCCTGATTTTTTAATAGTGACCTGATTTTCCTGTTTTTGATTTAAAATCCTGATTTTATCCTGATATTTTATAATTCATCTCTATAGAACTAAATTTTACAAGATATCACGCATTATTTTGTTATACTAAATCTGTCTTTCAAATCTGTATAAATATATTTGTAGAATATTTTTAACAATAGAAAAAAAAAAGATAATGTTCAAATTATTTTTATTTCAATAATGCATTTTTTCTTTTTTTTCGTAACCGGTTTAAGCTTTCGCTATTTTCAATTAATTGATTGTTCAAAACAATTAGTTTAGCATTAGCAGCTGTTAGAAGTACTTCAGCTATACCAATCTCACTAAATTCTCGATTGTTCATAGCTGCAGCAAGTCTTGTGCTCCCTTCCTCCAACATTTTAGTTGCTTTGGCTAATTCTTCTTGTAAAGCTTTTTTTTTTCGTTGATCAGTTGATTTTCTTTTTCTTCTAATTGTTCATGTTGTACGTCAGAAGCTCGTTTTTCATTCATCACATCAATATTTTTAATTAATTTTTGTTGTTGCTCAATATCTTTTGCATAACGTGAATATGCTTCTTGAACGTTGGACAGTAAGGTAAATATTGTTGAAACCTTAAGCATAGTATCACAACATTTCGAATAGATCAAACGTATACTCACCATATGAGTTTTATCATCATCAAAAAATTGAATGCCAGCATTTGTAGCTCTCAAGCCATTAATTGATGACTCATTTAATAATGAACGATCATCTGAAACAAGATTATTGTTTTGAGAAAAACCTCGTTCAACGTCACTATTTCCATGTGACAAGGACAACAAGCACTTTACGAGTTTAATCAATGCTAGATATTGTGGTGCACCAGTTGATATAGCAGTAGACAATACTTGATACCAATATTCATCAATTGGTACATACTCAATGATGTTGTTTGAAGAATTGGTACTTTTTTTAATCCATTCATCGAGTATATCAGCCATTTCATAAATGCGCCATTCAGCACCAACTCGATCAACTTCTTCGCTGGTTAATAGATGTGGAACATTTCGTGCAAGATACATAATACTGGCTCTAGAGGATTCATCTTTACGCATTGAAGGTTGAAAACACTGAAGATGTAGTAAAAAAATCATGAGTAATTGGTAATGATTTCATTAATTCTTTCTGAAATATCATAATACTTATTATATCAATATTTTGAAATCAATTATACTCACCGTTATGTTGCAATAAATTTCACGTACATCTTGAAAAAGAACTACTTTCTCATTGTTAGATAAATCTTTAATACAGATTCAAGTATTTTCGCCAACATCAATATTTATATTATTCTTTTGGTTGTTTTGAAGTTCGAAAGAAATAGACAATAATTGAATACCTTCTTTACATTTTGGGAGTTCTTCTTTCACAAATGAAAGTAAAACATTACGTAATAAGTTAGAACACTCGCTATACAACAAATGTACTAATGGTTGTTCTTGTTGCAACCAAACAAGTTCTTTTTTAAAAATTGTTCGATAAACAAAAAGAATGAAATGGAATTTGACAAGTGTCGACTTGTCATTAATAAAGTTTTTAATTCAATTTTCTTGTCGACTTTTGGAAGATATTCAAAAAAATATTCTTTGATAATATTCCATTGCTGTACAACACATTCAATTACTGGACCAACTTCGATCCAACGAGTTTCAACAAAACGATAAAGAAATCGGGAATAACATTCATTAATAGTTGTCGCAACTGATATAAAATCTTCTCAACGAGCAAAAGACCTAGAAAACCAAAACCAAATATCATTGATTGATTCATTAATAAACCATGTTGTCGATTTAATTCCTTTCCGAAATGAACCATGAATAATATGTAACGGACATGAGCCAATTGAAATAAGACCCATTATTGGCATCGACCGTGATCTATCGAACAGTATTTAGATAAATAAAGGAAATCACAGAAATAGAGAATCATTACTTTTTTTTCTTTCGGCAATAATTTCTTTATTAAGAATATTTTCTATCGTCTTATTAACATTTGGATTATCTCTTCCTATTTAAATGAAAAATATATACGGATGAATCGATGTAAAGGATAACATACCTAACATCAACATTTTTGTAATATCAATTCCATCAGCTTTCAATGAATCAATAATAGATTGAGAAATAATATCGGCAGTGGCATATGACCAAGAATAATACTTTTGTAAAACCGAACACATACACCATTTTTTGTTTCTGTCCAATATCGAAAAAAAAATCAAGTTGTCTACGAACACCAGCAATTGAAGTTTCATCAAAAAGTAATGAAAATCCATGAGCTTTACGTATATCCTTGATTAATTCATTAGTAAAATAATAACTAGTTCCATGTGAAATAACATACGATAATTTTCGTGGACGTAATGAATAATCAGCAGCAATCGAACTGTCAGAAAACATGTACCGAAAAATTTCTGGTAATAATTGTGATGAATTATAAGAAAAACCAAGTTGAGAAGTAGCCATTGCCCATATACATTCAGCACGAACAACTTCTGAAAAATAAAATAAGAAACATAGTTTCTTCTTGATATGATAATCTGACTACATATATGTTAAATAATTATTTTAGTCTGAATATTAAGTCAACAGAGGTTATATAGAAAAATGAATTTTTTTAGAGAACATTAAATCCAACTAGAAAACAAATCTACAGATCAGTCAATAGCATGCGCTGATGTTGACGGCTGTGATGACCGGTGTATTATTTCATTCTCTTTCTTTCTACTGCTACCTACAATTGCATCTGTGGTAGAATTAAATGTAACTGTGTATTTTTTTCTCTCTTCTTTTTCTTCCTGGCCTTCTAAACGGATATCGAAATATGTACTCGAATTTATTCTTACTTTCTGATAATTTTTCGTAGTTTTATATATTATTTGATAAAATAAAAGTAAATTTCTTAAGAATGATGACCGAGACTACTTACTTTCATCATGTGTTGATGCTCTTTGGTCATTTTGAATAGTAATAAAAGGACGTGGTGTTGTATTAACATCTGTGGATGTTGTTATTGAACATACACCACAATCATTCGTATTATTGGATACAGATGATGATGGATGACCAGATGCAACAAGTGAAACTGAACCAAATACGTCCTTCATACGTTGAATATGTTTTGGACGAGCAAAATATTTTTTTATATCACTCCAGCCACCATTAGCACAACTAAGATCATCTGTATTACACACAATACATCGGAATGAATTAGCTGTTTTGCCTTTCGTAAGCCATCGAGAACAAACTCGATTGGTATTATCCAATCTAAGCAACCATTTTGAACAAAATCCTGTGTTTTTCGGCATTTGAGAAGGTCTAAGTGAAGGGACACGTTTTTCAGAAATAAATGTTTATCACATTGCATTAGTTTTATATATGGAGAGAAACGCAAAGTAGACTATACAATAACAGAGAGAGAGAGAAAGAATGAAAAGAAAGAAACACGATTTGTAGTGCGTATCTGAAGAAAAAAATCACATTGTTGTAGAACTTATTCTTCGTCAATTAGTTTTGCCATTTATCGAAGCAACATACGTTTTAATTTCAATTAATCATTAGTACTTCATCCATTTTTATCCATATTTAGTTCTAGATAGTAATATCAGAATAAGTTTTACAATGTCCTGATTTTTCCTTGAAGATTGTTCTGCCTGTTTTCCTGATTTTGCTGCATAGACCGCTGCGAAGCCTACTCTATGCACTCTCCTTGAGATGTTAAAAGGAAATTATTTTCAAATACAACTGTTCTGTATTATGTACTATATTAAATATTTTAATCACGATCTCGATTCTTTAAAATTTCACCAAACATGAATAAGTATGTATCCATCGTCAACATATCCCCAACAACTGAAATTACAATTAATATGAATTTTGATATGACTTTTCTGTAATAATTTGAAACATGAGCACAATCTTACAAAAACCACTACTTTTAATAACTTTCTTAATCTCTGTTTACTTGTAGATAATCAGTTGTCTTCGATAAAACAGATTGATTTTTTTTAAGTATACATCCGTATTCCATTATTTTGAGTGATAAATACTTTTTGATTCTAGATTCGACTAAATATCAACAATCTTTGTTCTCTTCTGATGTTAACAACTAATAACAATAACTTAAAAATATCTCACTGCACATTGTTCTATGAGTGAACCATCTTGTAAGACACGAGAGATTTCTTAAAATGAAAAGAAGACCATCTATATCTATGAAGTTATGGGTCAGACTCAGTGATATTGGCACTGTACTACCGTTTGTGTATCCATTTGTTGTACACCTTTTCTTATAGATTTCAGACAAACGAGAATAGATGTTGCTTTTGAAAAGAAACAAAAATTTCTGAAGATGACGGTAGAAGTTGAAATTTTATTTCGTCATAGGATATGCTTTATATATATATATATATATACTTTTTTCGAATTAATAATTTAGAATATGTTTAAACAATTAAGCGAATCTAAAAAAATCAGAGATTAGTTATCTTTAGACTAACATGATTAACAATTTAGATAAAACAATTGGATTCATTTTGACAGATCGGAATAATAAAGAAATTAATGGTGAACACGCGCAGAAACAATTCAAAAATATTATTGCATTTGTATTTATACTCAAATTAGTATTAATTATCGTTAAACGCATGATGATTGATAGTGAATAATTGAATCGAAGAACTAACTACGGCAAAGATTTTCCTTATTTAAGAACTAAGACTCCTTCAAATCAATTAATATTTCTGATCAAATCAAAGATGAGTTGATGCAACAGATTACAGTTGAGTTTGTGATGAACAAATTTGCCTAAAGACATGCATCTTTTTCAAAGCTTCTTTCTCAAAGAATATCAATTCCTATCAGCTAAATTAGATTTGTCCCACTTTAAGCTAATATCATCACGGAAGATGACATAAAAATCATGACTAAAATCTATTGTCATCGTTCTATGATGTATTATAATATAAAAATAAAATTTCTCTGTTAATATTAATTAAGATTTGTCGTTCATGACATAAATAAATCGATCGTTCTCAACAGAGTTAAGAAAGACTTTGCATCAATTATATATGTTTAGATACCTTTTGAAACTTCCACATTTGACTATGAAAATTTTTCAATGAAACAAACAAAAAAAAAATACATTTTCATTTTTATTTACGAAAGTAACACTGTCCATTCTCAATATGATAGCATTCATGACGTATATTATAAGGTAAGTATGCTCTTCGCCGAAAACAAGATTGTCGAAAACTCACATCGCCGACTCGACATGGAAATTTACGGTGA